GTTGAGCAATCAGGTTTGGAACAACTAAAGTATTAGATTCAAGTTTCCCAGAAATTATAGAAATAACCATGAATACTGTTTAGGGAGCTTTGTCTCTGTGACTGTCTCCAGAGACTGTATTTCCATGTATACTTTATATCCCTTAATCCTATGCAGTATATACTGTTGCTAGCTCCATTTTTCAGAGTAAGGAACTGAGACCCAGAGAGGTTAAATAACTTGGCTAGGATCACAGAGCTACAAGATGGCAGAGTCAGGATTTGAACCTAGATCTTGTTGATTCTGCCATCCTGCCCTCTGTTAGGCCTAAAGAGAAACAATATTTAGATGAGTTGTAGATAATGGATCATCAATGAGAGAAGCCTTCTTTGCTGTGTCACACTGATGTCTGTCCTCCTAAGACCAAGGTGAATGGAACTGAATTCCAGGGGTCTATCACTGATGACAGGCCCACCACCCTTCCCATAGAGTATCCTTACAATGCTGAACTTGAGACTGAATGAGCCAGAAAACCTTTTATGTCATTTCTTTCCTAACCACACTCTGAAATAAACTGGGCTCCCTTGGGGAAGGACTGGACACTCCCTCAGAGGAAGGCCAGGGTAGAAGATGCTACGGATGGTGTGTGGTTACCATGTATGTCACATTACTGAGCAATCTCTTGTGTTTCCAAGGCATCTTTGACCCAAAGAATTGAACTTTTTTTGTTTTGGGGTTTTTTTTTTTTAGATGAGAAAATAGAGTTTATTTAGAAAGTAAATTAGAGAGAGAGATTGGAAATTCACCTCCCTGAGGCGGGGAGGAGGCTGAAGCCAGGAAACATGGCGATGGTCATAGCTCAAAGAGCACATAGCCACACCACAGTCTAGTTAGGCAATGACCAACATTTTGTTGATTAGACCATCAACTGGACTCGGCAGAGCTAAGTGGCAGGGATTTAGTGTCAAAAGCCTTTTGAGTTAATATTTTCCCCCATTGCTCTCCTGTGTTAAGCAATAATTTTACAGTCCCCTGCCTTACCTCTTTATTATTGTCATTTTTTAGAGACAGGGTCTCACTTTGTCACTCAGGCTGGAGTACAGTGGTATAATCATAGCTCACTGTAACCTTGAGCTCCTGACCTGTCTTCTTTCTTTTTTTTTCAAAGCAGGATTTATTGAGAGGACAGAAAAGCTCCCAAAGTGGGAGGGGACCCGAAGGGGTTGTCATGACTTATTTCTTACACAGAATCTTGAGTGACAATTCTTACTGCTTCTCATCTAAGAATGCTATACACTTGCCCCGGTCTGATATTTTCTAATGTGTGAGACCCATATCACTGGTGGTACATGAGATACCTTTAGCTAGCACATGAGCTTGCATGAAATTACCATGTTTCAAGGATTCAAGTTATTCCCCTGAATGCTTATTCTGTTGAGAATACAGTTTGGTGCTACTGAATCTTGAAAGTTCCTCCAACACTTGGTAATCTTTCTTTTTTAAAATTTTGTAAAGATGAGGTCTCACCGTGTTGCCCAGGATGATCTCAAACTCCTGGGCTCAAGCCCATCTTCCCACCTCAGCCTCCCAAAGTGAGCCACTGCGTCCAGCCAATCTTTTTTTTTTGGGGGAGTCAAGGTCTAACTCTGTTGCCCAGACTGGAATGCAGTGGCACAGTCACGGCTACCACAGCCTCAACCTGCCAGCCTCAGGTGATCCTTCTGCCTCAGCCTTTCAAGCAGCTGGAACTACAGGTGCATGCCACTATGTGCAGCTAATTTTTAAAATTTATTGTAGGCATGAAGTCTCATCAAGTTGCACATGCTGGTCTCGAACCCCTATGCACAGGCAATCCTCTTGCCTCTGCCTCCCAAAGTGTTAGGATTATAGGTGTGAGTCACTGCACCTGGCTTAATCTTCTTTTTTTAATGAAGAGAACACAGGCCTCTGCTCAGAGCTTTCAGCTATCTAAAATATTAGGATTTAATCATGTTATTTACTTATTTAGTAACTTATTTCAGAAGGATTTTTAGATTGACAGAAAAGTTGCAAAGAGAGTTTTTATCTAAGAACCATATGTCTTTCACCCTGTTTCTGTCAATGATAGCCTCTTACATACCCATGGTACATTTGCCAAGACTAAGAAACTGATGTTGGCCATTACTATTAACTAAAGTATGGACTTCTTAGGTTTTTCCACTAATGTCCTTTCACTGTCACAGAGTCCAATCTAGGATACCACCTTGCATTCATTATTTTTGTTTTTGTTTACGGTAGTGATATATCTTCTTTTAAGACATTAAGCAAGCTGGGTACGGTGGTTCAAGCCTGTAATCCCAGCACTTTGGGAGGCTGAGGTAAGAGGATTGCCTGAGCTCAGGGGTTCAAGACCAGCCTGGGAAATTTGGTGAGACTGCATCTCTACAACAAATCAAAAAATAAGCTGGGCATGGTAACACATACCTGTACTTCCAGCTACTTAGAAGGCTGAGGTGAAAGGATCGTCTGAGCCCATCAGGTCTAGGCTGCAGTGGCTGTGAGTGTGTCACTGAACTCCAGCCTGGGCAACAGAGTGAGACTCCGACTAAAAAAATAAAATAAAACAAAATAAATCATTAAGCAAAGAAAAGTGAGAGAATTTGAAAAAAAAAAAAACAGTAACAGTAAGAGTGTTATGTAGATATGGCAAAAAATTCTCAGTTTCCTCTGGGTTGGCTTTATCCACTGGAAAATCCTTCCCATGAAATGGGAAGATGAGCCGGGCATGGTGGCTTACACCTGTAATCCCAGCACTTTGCACTTTGAGAGGTGGAAGTGAGAAGATTTTCTGAGTCCAGAGATTCGAGACCAGCCTGGGCGACTTGGCGAGACCTCGTCTCTACGATAAATAAAAAAATTAGCCAAGTGTGGTGACATGTGCCTGTGGCTCCAGCTACTTGGAAGGCTGAGGCAGAAAGATCACCTAAGCCCAGCAGGTCGAAGCTACGGCGGCTGTGAGCATGCCACTGCACTCCAGCCTGGGCGACAGAGTGAGACTCTGACTCAAAAAAAAAAAAAAGAAAGAAAGAAAAAGAAAAAAGCAATGGGAAGGTGATCACCAGCCAACCGGTGCTCTTCCAGCCAGACTGGTTTCTCCCACTAGTCATTTGAATGTATGTTTCTGTAGCTTGGCCAACCACTGCTGTGAGTATCAAACTCTCACCAACATAGTGGCCTAAATCATAATGATACTGATGGTTTAGGGATCATAAAATCCAGAGATGGGTGGTTCCAGAGTTGGTTTCATAGCTCAGTGATGTCAGCCAGGACCTGATCTCTTTCCATCTTTTATCATCCTCAGAATGTTGGCTGTCATTTCTCTTTCTTTCTTTCTTTCTTTCTTTCTTTCTTTCTTTCTTTCTTTCTTTCTTTCTTTCTTTCTTTCTTTCTTTCTTTCTCTTTCTTTCTTTCTTTCTCTTTCTTTCTTTCTTTCTTTCTTTCCTTCCTTCTTTCTTTTTTCTTTCTTCTCTCTCTCTCTCTCTTTCTTTTTTTTGACTCAGAGTCTCACTCTGTCACCCAGCCTGGAATGCAGTGGCATACTCACAGCCACTGCAGCCTCAACCTGCTGGGCTCCTGCTGAGGCGATCCTTCTGCCTCAGCCTTCCAGGTAGCTGGAACCACAGGCGCATTCCACCAAGCCCGGCTAATGTTTTTTTATTTATTGTTGAGATGAGGTCTTGCCAAGTTGCCCAGGCTGGTCTCAAGCCCCTGAACTCAGGCAATCCTCTAGCCTCTGCCTCCCAAAGTGCTGGGATTACAGGCATGAGCCACTGCACCTGGTGGCCATCATCTTTCAGTGTGTCATCCTGTGATCCAAGGATGGCTCCATTGGCTTCAAGTATCATATCCTGGTAGCTGTGTTCAAAAGCAGAAAGAAAAGGGAACTTGCTTCATGAGCACTTCCTTATGGACTTGTCTCCCATGGTCAGGGAGAAATATTTCCTGGGAGTCCCTTGCTGGGATCACATGGTCACCTCAAGTTGAAGAGAATCTGGGAAAGCAAAGTTCTGATGAAGAGGATTGGCTCAGACCCCAGTGGGTGGGAACAGGCCAGCCTTAACATTTGCAGAACTCTGGGCTAAAATACAAAATTATTAGTAAAACGTGTCCTAGCTTTCTTCCCTGACAGACACACTTTCAGAATCACCTGGAGGACCAGTTTGTATGTTGAATCCTTCCAATCTTTGGAGTCTCGTGCCAGGATGTGGCTCCTGGATAAATGTCCATGTTCTTTCTCTTCCCCTTCTCAACTCCATCCCACCACATGAGGTCTCACACACAGGCATGTGGATGCTCTAGCCCACACATCCAGGCTCTGTCTACCCCTCCCACAAACAGCTTCCTCTTAGCCACTCCTTGAACCTAGAAGTACACATACCAGCTGAACCCTTGGGAGCATAGACTGGGAGAAAAGTTTACTCCTGGAAGCTGGAATTAGACTTGGGCTGTTTGGACAAGGAGTTTTGGGGTACCGGGTACCCAGAGTGTGGGCTTAGGTGGAATATCCTCTTGGCTTTGTGGACTCCTTTCTCCATTGGGATGGGTGTAGCTGGAGGAGAGACAGAATGGGGTCCTCTAGAGGACAGGCCTAGAGCAGAGGCTGTGCTTGCCAGTATTGGTTGGGTACATCGCTGCACAGATGAAATCAGGTGTCTCTTAAAGTGGAAAGTGGAATGACTATTGAGCAGGCAGCCATCTGCCTCAGAGTTTAGTGGGGCCAAGGGTCTTATGTCTTGTTGATTCTTGTCTCCCTAAGATGCAAGCCAATGCCTGGTACATGGTAGAAACTCAAGACATATTGAATCAAAGAATTAGTGAATGGATGAATATCACTATTAGCACCATTTGAAACATTTCCATCTCACAGGGATGGGGCGGTTGGAGACCAGAGTCTAGAAGGAAAACACTGAGGGAACTAGTGTGTCATCGTGGCAGAGCAATAGTCCCAAATTCCCGAATTTGTCTCTCCCCTGGACCCCCACCCCTCACCACACCCTCCTTCAGTAGACACATCTTATTTGTGTACACAGCCACAGACTTTCTCCTCAGGGTTTCCGACAAGGATCCGCTGTCGAGTTTCTGGGTTTTGGGGCTGCCTGGGAACTCAGAGCCCACCCACGCCAAGCCTTCCACAGACATAACGCCTCCCCAGCCTGGCACACAGGACCCCACGAATGAGCCCGGTCAGCTTCCTCTGCTCCCCCTGACAAATCCCCTACTCAAACAGGTCCACTGTCTCACCCAAATATGCTGGTACTTTCCAGTTTTTTTGCTGGAAACATTCCTGCTGCTGGAATGTCCTCATTCTCCCCATTTTTTCTCGCTATTCAAATCAAACCCGTGTTTCAAGGCCCTTCCTGTTCCCCATGCCCTTCCCAAGACTTGTACTGGCTGCCCAGACTCCCTTCTGCACGTCTTCCCTAGGGATTCTCCTGCACCGTGTCTTGCCCTGGGCACTCCTCCATTGAACATTCAACAGAGGCTTGCTCACCATGCTCCAGGTCCTATGTTGGGGAAGGGATGGGGAGATATCGATTGGAATTCTCTGGGTATCGAGCTCACTTAAAGAGAGGGATATTAGAAAATGTGACAGGCATTCTCAGGGACAGGCAGGAGTGGCAAACAGCTTGGCCTCACTGTGACTGGCAATTTGGAAAGTCAGGATTTGAGGCTTCTCTCTTCGCCTTTCTGGATGGGATTCATTAGTCTGTCTCTCACATCCAGCTTCCTAAGTGACATGCATCTGGTTCCACACTGGCCATCCTAGCGTTCACTCTACATGACCTTGTAATTCAAGCACGTACAGATGTGGCAGGTTTCCTTTGCTTGCAAATGAAACAACCTGGTTCAGAATGGTTTAAACAAAGTAAGGAAATTTATTGGTTCATGCAACTATAGAAAAGTCCAGAAGAAATTCAGAGTTCAGGCATGGCCAGATCTAGGTACTCAAATAATATGATTAGAGACCTCTTTCTATCACTGGACTCTGCTTTTTTCTGGGTTGGCTTCACCCATAGGAAAATCCTCCCCATGGGGTAGCAAGCTAGTTACCAGAAAGTCTGGATGAACATTCCACCAACTTAGCAACTCTGGTGGAGAAAACACTTCCTTCAGCAAGGTTCCTGTTCCTGGGTAGAGCTGTCATTGGCTTAGCCTTGAACAAAACTCTGAGACCAGGGAATGTGATGCTCTGGTTGGCAGGTTTGTTTCTCTTAAAAGACAAATATGGAATTATTACCATGAGAACCCACTTGCAGTGAGATTGGGTGGGGAGGAGGCAAGCCACTCAAACATTTCACCTCAGATGAGCTGTGGCAGGGGTGAGGATTGGCTCACAGACCTGCTGCTCCAACACGTTCTCTGCAGGGTGACCAGCTGTTGTCTGTCTGCCCAATTCTTCTGCAAACAACCTCCTGTATTGGAGGACCGTCTTCCCAATTGTGAGATTCTATTGGGACTACCAATCACAGCCCTGCTAGTGACAAATGAGGATGTATGACCCAAGAGGACCAAGCTGAACCTTTCCTTGAGATTTTCATCATTGAACCAAAGAAAGAAAGTCTGCTAGCATCCCAGATAACTCTCCCCAGTCAGATGCTCCTTCTCCTCCTCCCCTTGTCTTACATTATTATTCAAGTTTCATTCAGCTTTTTAAATTTAGTAGATATGTGTAGATCTTGTTTCCCTAGGGAGTATGGTGGTGATGGGGGCTGGGGTGGTAAAGAGTGTCCCTTAAACTGCTCTTTTCTTTCTGGAGGAGAAGTTAGGAGGACATGAGTAGCAGCTGACCAAATTTCCAGCCTCACTGAAAAAGCTGGTCAAAGAGAACAAAACTAAAATGCAGAGAGAAAAGAAGATAAAAATAGAATCTTAATGGAGGCCAGCACATTTGCTTCATCATTGCCAAGGCCCAGCAGGAACCTGCCTTTGCCTTCATTTGGCCAACACTTTTCTCTTTTTGCCTAATTTGGGTAGCCAGTGTTCCTTGGGTACATCCTATGTGCCATGTCCTCTGTGCTCGTAGTTGCTTTCTTTTTTTCTCTCTTTTCTTTTCTTTTTTGTTTTGAGTTAAAGTCTCACTCTGTTGCCCAGGTTAGAGTGCAGTGGCATGCTTATGGTCACTGCAGCCTCAACTTGCTGGGCTCAGGCCATCCTTCCACCTCACCTTTCCAAGTAGCTGGAACTGCAGAAGCATGTCCCCATGCCCAACTTATTTTATTTTATTTTATTTTTGATTTATTGTAGAGACGATGTCTCGCCAAGTTGTCCAGGCTGGTCTCAAATCCCTGGGCTCAGGCAGTCCTCTAGCCTCTGCCTCCCAAAGTACTGGGATTACGGGAGTGAGCCACCATACCTGACTGCTAAGTGCTTTCTATAGATGACCTCTTTGGATGCTTACAACTCCATGATTATTTCCTCCTTTTACAGATGTGGGAACAGAGAGTCCAAGAGGTTGAGAGACTTAGTAACACAGCTAGTAAGTAGCAGAGTCAGAATTAAACCAGACAGACTTCTCTGGGGCAACCCACAAAGCTCTGAAGACCTCAGTGCAGTGAATGTGGGTGGAGCAGGCATCCTGACATGGGTCTCAGACACCAGGGTCTCAGGCTGAGCACTTAGACTCTGTAGCATTATTATATTAGGTGCAAAATTTTTAAAACTATGAAATATGTACAGAAAATTACATAGGAAATGTAGGCACAGTTTACAAATAAATACTCACCTGTGTAACTATCACCTAAGTCAAAAAATAAAGCATTACTAGCATTCCAGAAGCGTCTCCCCAGTCAGAATCTCCTTCTTGTCCAGAAATACTCCTTATCTTATATTATTATCCAAGTTTCATTCTGCTGTTAGATTTTAGAGAATATGTGTAGCTCTTGTTTCCCTAGGGAGTATGGTAGTGATGGGGGGTGGTGGTAAGGAGTGTCCCTTAGACTGTACTCTTTTGTACCTTTCACCTTGCCAGTCACATGATAGGCCAACTGATAGGAAAGCATCTACTCTGTATTCAGAACTGGGCTAGGTGTTGTACGCATCACCTCACTGGCATATCACAAAACCTCTATCAGGTAGGCCTAATTAACATATATTTCCAAACAAGGAAAAATGAAGGTTCAGGAAAGGCATGTACCATACCCAAGGTCACAGATTGGACATAGTAAAACTTGGTTTTGAACCCAGATCTCTCTTGACCGAGAGTCCCACTCTTTCGTTGACTTGGTTTGATGAGGGTAGGGGCAGGTGAGGAAGGAAGGGAACAAAGCAGGGTGGGGGGGGATGGTTGGTGCAGGGATTTAGAGGGGCTGTGGAGCTGGCCTGGCCGGCCTGGTTTCACATCCCAACCCTGCCACTCTCTCTACATTTCAGTTTCCTGCCTGCGTAACGGTTTTGTGTTGATTCAATGAGATGATGTATGAAATGCCCAGCATGGATAATCGTACTGGCCTCATAGGGCTGTTGTGAAGAATAAGAGCTGAGTTTAGTACAGGAAGCTTCTAGAGCAGTGCCCTGCATGTGGCAAGCACTAATGGGCACTGGCCACTGCTACTGATGCTCTTGTTTCTCCTCCGCCCTCAGGCTCATGGGCATGCACTGAGTGGCCGTTGTTTTGGAATTGTTGCATCTGTGGCTACTTTGCAGACTGTTTTCCTCTGCATACTCACTCCATTGAAGGGCTCTGGCTGGGGGCGGTCTTTGGAAAGTGAGTGCTTGTTTCTTCTGAGGATCATGAGGCCAATGGAGTAGAAGCTAGCCTTCTCTGATGGAAGCTGGTCTGAGCTCCAATGCCACATTTCCTTCCTGACCCCGCATGTGGGCAGAGTTGACCTGGGTGCCACTCCAGGGAATCAGGGCAGCCTCACCACAAGGTCAGGCTGGCTCTCAGGAGGGTGGGGATGTGTGGTAGGAGGGCTCCCGGCTACATGGCCTATGGCCTTGCATCCTGCATGGTCTTTGGAGAGGCTGAGGCTCACGGTGGGATTTTTCAGCAACCAGGGTCCTCGACAGCTCCTGGAATAGGTCAGGGATATTGGTTGCAAGCAACAGAAACTGATTCTGGCTGCTTAGAGAAAAAAAATGCAGGCGTCACTGAATCAGCCAGAAGTGGAAGGACCAGAGCTGTTGCTGCTTTCAAACATCCACCCCTCCTTGCATCTCTAGCTTCAGTTTCAAAGTTCTAGAAAAGAGCATCTGATTGGAATAACTTAAATTGTGTGATGGCCGCAGGTGAAACAGGGTGGTGGGTGGGGGAAGGGCCAGGGCCCCAGTTGGTGTAGTGATTGCTGGTAGAACTCTCCCTTCGTCGAGATTAGATACAGGGCATTTCTTCAGAAGGCAGTGTAGGGAGTGGCTGAATACAAGGCAGTCGGAGGAAAGAAGAGAAGACAAATGCCCACTATACTTCTGCCCTCTTGAAGCAAACAGGCTTGTACAGTGGGTGCCTTAGGCGTCCTAAAAGACAAGCTGGCCTGCTTCCCAATGCAGACAGGCTGCCGAGAGACAGTATGGGGAACGGGAAGTGCTGACATCGCTAGAGTTAGAGTTAGTTCAAGTTCTGGTACCTCATCCACTCACTTGTGACCTTGGGCAGATGCCTTAACACCCTGGATATTTTATTCATCAATCTGTGAAATGGAGATAATAATTCATCAGTTCTCATATGGTTGCTGCAAATACTAAGGATACTTTAGGACCTGTCGACTCTGATTCCAACTCTATCTATGACATCGGTGCCTTCTCAGAGCCTTGATTTCCTATCTACAAAATGGGAGAAGAAAGTAGGGCCCAGTAGGGCCAGACATGGTTTTTAGCCTGCTATTGCTACTTATCTGCTGTAAGACTTTAGGCAAGTTATTTAACTGAACTTGAAGTATTCCAGCTCAATGGGCATGGTGCAAGCATAGGCACAGAATGGGTGCTATATTGGTTTCCGAGAGCCATCCAGCAAGGCGCAACAGACAGACTTGTTTAACCAACAGAAATGTATGGTCTCACAGTCCTGGAGGCGAAAAGTCTGAGATCAAGGTGTCACCAGGGTTGGTTCCTGCTGAGGACTGTGAAAGAGAAAAATCTGTTCCAGACCTCTCTCCCAGCTCCTGGTAGTCTGCTGGCAATCCTTGGTGTTCCTTGGCTTGTAC